TTCTGATTCGGGTTGTGACTTGACTATTCTTTGATATTCTCCCTTGATCTGACCCTCTGATGCTGAACCCCGACTCGTGACCCAGTGATTCTCGTCTTGCTGGCCTGATACTGTTTTGGTCCTGTTGTTGTTGACCCCCCGGCTTGTCCTGACTACTCTTTTGTCTCTTCCACCCAGCTACACGCCATTGGCAGGCGGCCACTACCGCCAGCTGAGGTGTCTTCGAGGTGGCCAGCGACCTGGTTGCCATGGCTGCGTCAAGGTCCATCCCCACCATCAGGGGCCCTGGTGAAGGGCCCAGCCTGGAGGGACCTTAGACTCCGCGCCTCCTGAGGGACTTCGGTCAGTGGGTAGTGGTTGTCGTCAGCCAGTGCCTTACATTGTTTAGGGCCTGCCTGTCCGTTCGGATCCTCGTCCCCGCCCTGACAATTGTGTGTGACTTAGATGACGTTCAGAGCACATTTTTATGCCCAATTCATAGCAAAAAACTCTACGTAATCCCAACGGGGTTCACATACTTTTTCTTGCAACTGTATACTATAATATTTCTGGTACTCTCACATGTAGAGTGTAGATATGGGTACTTCAACATATATGCAGGTAGTAGCAGACAAAGTGGGTGACTTGTCTCACTGTAAATTCAAAACAGATAGGTGCAGCGCTGAAAAGACTTACCGTATTTTTCGCTCCATAAGACGCACCTGACCATAAGACGCGCCTAGGTTTTAGAGGAGAAAAACAAGAAAAAAAATATTCTGAACCAATGGACTGCAGACACAATACAGGGGATGACCAGAAACTGCAGACATACTACAGGAGATGACCAGAGACTGCGGACATAGTACAGAAGGTGACCAGAGACTGCGGACACAGTACAGGGATGACCAGAGACTGCGGACACAGTACAGGAAATGACCAGGGACTGCGGACATAGTACAGGAGATAACCAGAGACTGCGGACACAGGACAGGGGATGACCAGAGACTGCGGACATAGTACAGGAGATGACCAGAGACTGCGGACACAGTACAGGAGATGACCAGAGATGCGGACATAGTACAGGACATGACCAGAGACTGCGGACACAGTACAGGAAATGACCAGGGACTGCGGACATAGTACAGGAGATAACCAGAGACTGCGGACACAGGACAGGGGATGACCAGAGACTGCGGACATAGTACAGGAGATGACCAGAGACTGCGGACATAGTACAGGAGATGACCAGAGACTGCGGACACAGTACAGGAGATGACCAGAGACTGCGGACATAGTACAGGACATGACCAGAGACTGCGGACACAGTACAGGAGATGACCAGAGACTGCGGACACAGTACAGGAGATGGCCAGAGACTGCGGACACAGTACAGGTAATGACCAGAGACTGCGGACACAGTACAGGAGATGACCAGAGACTGCGGACACAGTACAGGAGATGACCAGAGACTGCGGACACAGTACAGGCGATGACCAGAGACTGCGGACACAGTACAGGCAATGACCAGAGACTGCGGACATAGTACAGGAAATGACCCAGAGACTGCGGACACAGTACAGAAGACCAGAGACTGCAGACAGTGCAAGGGATGACCAGAGACTGCAGACAGTAAAGGAGATTACCAGAGACTGCGGACCTTTGGGGAGGGAGGGGAACGGGTACCTTAATTTGACGGGTACCCGCTCCACTTCCGTGGAGTTGTCCTTCCCTCTTCTTCCCGCGGTGGCTTCTGTGACAGCCGGGTGTCCCCACTGCGCATTATGCGCGAGAAGCGCTGCGCTTTGTGAATGGCCCGGAGCCTTCTGCGCAGTGGGCATCCGGCTGTCACAGAAGCTGCCGCGGGAAGACTGCAGCGCTGGAGAGAGGAACAGGTAAGGTCCTGCAGGAGAGAAAAGCTAAGCGGTACCCGGCCCGATATTCTGACATGGTGGCGGCAGAAATACCGGACCAGCCGCTTTAACATTCGCTCCATAAGACGCACTGACATTTTCCCCCCTTTTTTGGGGGAAAAAGTGCGTCTTATGGAGCGAAAAATACGGTAAATGACTCTTTAACTGGTATACGTGATAAAGTGCAAATATAGTGCATAATATACATCCGCCTTGATTTGTCATCAGCAACTGTTATTATTATAATATAATACATGTATATATACAATATCATTCTACCATAATGAATATTCTTTATCATGATGGATAAGTTATACATACTTATTTTTTGAGGTTGTGCGGTAATGCGCATGCACATCAGTTACGATTCTGGGTGGATTTTATATACCAGTTCTTTTGTCAAAAATAGGTCACATTGTTTCCATTATTTTTAAGGAGTTTTTGATACTCTTGTTTTGCGCTCATAATGCTTTGATATTGGGCAGAAATTCTTCTTACAACTTCCCTGGTGGTCTGTGTGACATATGTTGAAATATCTATGATCCACAACAAAATGACGTGCGCGAAATACGCTATATATACAGTTGTCAGATGATACAAGCACACCCCTTATGACTAAGTGCGTTGGCACGAAACGTGTCAGGGAGGAGCTGTACGTCGTGACGTCACGCTGCCGGAGCCTCGAGCAGGTCCGGTGGCCATCTTAGATTTCTCTCATGGTCAGTTTTTTGTGCTCTTATTATTGTATACCAAACGGAAGGAATAAATATACTTTTAAGCAGTATCACGCCATTGGCATCCTTTCTTTGGGCTCTTTATGAGCTTACCAACCCACAGAGCTTAATACGGAGGACGGCAGAGGTACTGCAGATGACCCAGAGAGGGGGATTCCAGACCAGGCTGTAGACATCCTTAAAGGGACCTCCGGCTGACCACAGTATATATCTATACATGCGTATTATTATTACGCATCTGGTGAGTGCGTAATTCTTCTACTTACCTGGTACATCACCGAATCATTGAGTATAGCGTGTGGATCACTGATTTTGAGATCATACATACCCAGATCTCCACTTTGTCACTTTATGGACATTATGTTGTAATTTCTGTGCAATTGTTATTTGTTTATTGCATTGGTCACTTTATCATCACTAGCAGTTACTTGTGACACCCTATAGTGTGATCACATTCACCTTGATTTCCGCTTTGTCACTTTATGGACATATCTGTGCAATTGTTAGTTGCTTAATCATATTTGTCACTTTATCAGCACTAACAGTCACCTTATTTATTTATTTATTTTTACCACTTATCTGGGGCAGTTATATAGATATATATATAATTTTTTACTTTGATGATTGCATCAGCACTTTATTATATTTGCACTTTATCACGTATACCAGTTAGAGTCATTTAAGTCTTTTTAGCGCTGCACCTATTATTTATCAGCGACTTTGGAAGGTTTATTTGGTTACCTTTTTGGTGCTACAGCAGCTTTGGATTTTTAGCGCTTCCTTTCTTATTCGTGTTTACATTTGATAGTGCAGGTTGCCTCTTTTAGGGAAAACCCCGTAAGGGATAAAGAGCTAACTAGAGTGTGAGAAAAAAGGTGAAAAGGAAGAGAACAATGGAGAGATCAGAGCAAGAGTAGTGAAGAAAGGGGTACAGATAAGGGGGAAGGAGGGGAGGATGTGTTTCTGTATGGAGTAGCAACTGACAAGCGGGTTACTACAAGGAGAGTAAGGTTTCATCAACGATTGATGGTAGGAAATAGTCAACACATGGTTGCCATAGTTGTTCATTTTTATGCACTCTGTCTAATTGAACTGCTTCTACTTTGGCATGTATCATGGCTCAAGTGACCCTATTTTTAGTTTCAGTGGTATTGAGGTGGAGGACTTTAAGGCCTTCACTATAGTTTGCTTAGCCGCGTTGGTGACCTGCAGGAGTAGTTTGAATGGCCAGTGTGCTGGTTTTTGGGGCTTGTGGTTAACTATGGCAGTAGCCGGATTGATAGATATAGGTTGTCCAAAAAGAACAGTGAGCATACAGAATATTTCACCAATATGTTTGGATAACCAGGCAGGTATTCCAAATGTGGAGGTGGCTGCCTGATTCAGAGCAGCCACGAAAACAAGTTTGGGAGTAGGACAGGACTAATTTAATAATCAGGGCAGGGACCAGGTACCAGTACATGAGGGTTTTGTAGCTGGTCTCAATGGCTACTATATTTTGGGATGAGGGTTTTGTAGCAGACCATATGTTAGCCCAATCTATCGCTTCCAAATGTAGATATAAATCCCGTTCCCATTTGGATGTATATGGTATGGAAGTGTAAGGTGACGGAGCCAGTAACTGTGCATTCAGTGCATCCAGAAAGTATTCACAGCGCTTAACTTTTGCCACATTTTCTTATGTTACAGCCTTATTCCCAAATGGAATAAATTTATTTTTTTCCTCAACATTCTACAAACTATACCCCATGAAAGAAGTTAATTTTGAAATCTTTGCAATTTATTAAAAATAAAAAACTAAAATAAACCTACATGTACATAAGTATTCACAGCCTTTGCTCAGTACTTTGTTGAAGCACTTTTAGCACCAATTACAGCCTCAATTAATTTTGAGTATGATGTTAAAAGCTTGCCACACCTATTTTTGGGCAATTTCTCCCATTCTTCTTTGCAGCATCTCTCAAGCTTCATCAGATTGGATGGGGAGTGTCTGTGCACAGCCATTTTCATATCTCTCCAGAGATGTTTAATCGGGTTCAAGTCTGGGCTCTGGCTGAGCCACTCCAGCACGTTCACAGAGTTGGCCCGTAGCCACTTCCTTTGTTATGTGGGCTGTGTGCTTAGGGTCGTTGTCCTGTTGAAAGATGAACCGTCGCCTCCGTCTAAGGTCCAGAGTGCTCTGGAACAGGATTTCATCAAGGATATCTCTGTACATTGCTGCATTCTTCATTTCCTCGATCCTGACTGGTCTTCCAGTTCCTGTCACTGAAAAAACATCCCCACAGCACGATGCTGCCACCACCATGCTTCACTGTAGGGATGGTATTGGCCAGGTGATGAGTGGTGCTTGGTTTTCTCCAGATATGATGCTTGGCATTCATGCCAAAGAGTTCAATCTTTGTTTCATCAGACCGAAGAGCTTTTGCAGGTTTGCTATTTGCCTTTTACTGAGGAGTGGCTTCCGTCTGGCCACTCTACCATACAGGCCTGATTGGTGGAGTGCTGCAGAGATGGTTGTTCTTTTGGAAGGTTCTCCTCTCTCCACAGAGAAACGCTGGAGCTCTTTCAGAGTGACCATTGGATGCTTGGTTACCTCCCTGGCTAAGGCTCTTCTCCCTCGACTACTCCTTTTGGCTGGGTGGCCCTCTCTAGAAAGATTCCTGTTGGTTCCAAACTTCTTCCATTTACGGAAGATGGAGGCCACTGTGCTCATTGGGACCTTCAATGCTGCAGAAATTTTTCTGTACCCTTCCCCAGATTTGTGCCTTGATACAATCCTGTCTCAAAAGTCTACGGACAATTCCTTGAACTTCATGGCTTGGTTTGTGCTCTGACATGCACTGTTAACTGTGAGACCTTATATAGACAGGTTTTATGCCTTTCTTAATTATGTCCAATCAACTGAATTTCCCACAGGTGGACTCCAGTCAAGTTGTGGAAACATCTCAAGGATGATCAGTGGGAACAGTATGCACCAGAGTTCAATTTTGAGTGTCATGGCAAAGGCTGTGAATACTTATGTACATGTGTTTTTTTTTTTTTTTTTTTTGTTTTTAATAAATTGCAAAGATTTCAAAACGAACTTCTTTCACGTTGTCATTATGGGGTATTGTTTGTAGTATGTTGAGGAAAAAAAATGAATTTATTACATTTTGGAATAAGGCTGTAACATAACAAAATGCGGCAAAAGTTAAGCGCTGTGAATACTTTCTGGATGCACTGTATAAGGTGGAAATCAAACCTCTGGCATGAGGGTCATGTTTACATATGTGTTCAAACCTAGTCATGCCTGTGAGGGAGGTATTGGTGCGTAAAAGGGGGGAATAAAGGGGTTTGATCTGAAGATTTCTAAAAATTTCAGCTCTAGAAATTTCGTGGGAGTTGCATAGGGTTTGGAAAGGTATACAGGAGTCTGGTGTTATGAAATTGTAAGTTCGATGTAGACTAACTCTAGGCCAAGCATGAAAAGAAGATGGAGACCCCTATGCTGGATAATAGGCTGGATTGCAGAGGTATGACAGGAGTGGGTTATGAGGTGACTGTAAGGCATGTTGGAACTTTTGACTATCCCAGATAGATAGGTAGTGTTGCCTAATTGGGCTTTGGAGTGAGCTGTGGTCTCTGGGATGTAGCCATAGTAGATTGGCAACTGATAAGGGGTCACAATCTACTGCCTCTATAGCAATCTATAGAGGATTTTGTTTTACTGCATGGCATTTTGGTAGTAGATGTGCTGCTTGGAAATATTTCGCAAAATTCGGAAGCCCAAAACCATCTTTAAGTTTCGGAAAGGTGAGAATGGATTTGGGTAGGCTCGGTTTAACAGTGCCACATACATAAGTGGTTGTGTAACACTATAATATATAGGGAGGAAATGGGAAGGTATAGATATGAGTAGAACTTGAAAAAGGTATTAGATTTTGGGCAGAATTGTCATTTTTAAAACCATGA